GCGACGTTTGTACTTAAAGCAGCGTTTGTGTGTTTCAGCCATCGAGAAAGCTAAGTTACATTTAAAACGACCTACATCAAACAGAATATATTTTTAAAGCCAGAAACCAAATTTAGGAATTATCCTACCGAGTCACAAGTCTGTTATTCAGCGCTACACAGTCTGAAATCTGTCGCTCATGTATACAAATTCAGAAAACAGTCTTCTAGCTAAATAAACTGAAATATTTTTTTAAAACCAGAAAAAGATGTAAATCTGCTTATCAGTGAAAAAATTGTTATGTCTGTGTGTGAAAAAAAACTTTACAGAGCCATTGATCCCGCTGTGTTTGTAAAAAGGTTAGAAGTCTAACAGAGCCATTGATCCCCCTGTGTTTGTAAAAAAGTTAGAAGTCTAACAGAGCCATTGATCCCCCTGTGTTTGTAAAAAAGTTAGAAGTCTAACAGAGCCATTGATCCCCCTGTGTTTGTAAAAAAGTTAGAAGTCTAACAGAGCCATTGATCCCCCTGTGTTTGTAAAAAAGTTAGAAGTCTAACAGAGCCATTGATCCCCCTGTGTTTGTAAAAAAGTTAGAAGTCTAACAGAGCCATTGATCCCGCTGTGTTTGTTAAAAAGGTTAGAAGTCTAACAGAGCCATTGATCCCCCTGTGTTTGTAAAAAAGTTAGAAGTCTAACAGAGCCATTGATCCCCCTGTCTATCTACACACCATGTAGCGTTATCCAGCTCTGATAGGTTTTTGAGAGAAGGATTGTCCAGACTCCGCGGCCTGGCTCCTCTAGATCACTTTCAGCCCTGACAGGTCCACTCTGTTTCATTGGATTGTCTGGTCACGTGGACCAGTTGACCCCTCCCCATACCCTCATAACCGCCGGATTTCTTTAAATAACCACTTATAAGTACGTTATCTACTTCTCCTTTTGATAGAAATACACAGAAATCGTTTATATACAGTTGTTGACTGATGGAACGAAAACGTTAACATTAATTTTAACGCTAACTTAAAGCAGAAGTATTTAGTATGGAAGAAGTATTGATGGAAATATTTTGAAATCTGCTGAGGAATCGTTGACAAGCTCTCTACCACAGAGGGGTCGGGGTGTGGGTGGTTTATACATTTGTTATATTGATTATGTTAGGTGCGTGGTTGTTTGAAGCGTGGTTGTTTATTCTTGGATGGACAAAGCAAATCCAGAAAGAAAAGCAGGCTGAAATCGGAGACAATGGCCTATATGACGCATAACAAGCTGACACGCAATACTTCATTGTGTTAGAGGGAATCCCTTCTAACACTAGAGAAGAGCGAAGAAGAAAAAATGGCTCAAGGAAGACATTGACACAGTGGATGCACGCTTGTTTTATTTGTTAAAAACAATTAAAAGCTTGACACCACTCCTTAGAGAAGATACAGCTAGCAGTTATCTCTAAAATGACCCTACTCCAACAATTTATTTAAAAAATGGACTCAGTTTTATCTCATGGTTCGTGGAAAAGGATGTTCTTTTCAATATACATATATATATATATATATATATATATATATATATATATATATATATATATATATATATATATATATATATATATAATAACATTATATACGGTATGTGGTGGGTATATGTTCTTAAGTTGTGTCTTAATGACTGCTTTCTAACCTTATAACTAGAGACAACATAGAAATAAGAATAAAAAAGTGCTTGATCTGTACACTTTGTTTGAATAAATAAATGCTAAATGTGTACAATTTCGGAACGAAAAGTGCTAAATCTGTACAGGTTAGAAAAGTGCTAGATCTGTACACAGTTAGAAAAGTGCTAGATCTGTACACAGTTAGAAAAGTGCTAGATCTGTACACAGTTAGAAACGTGCTAGATCTGTACACAGAAAAGTGCTAGATCTGTACACAGTTAGAAAAGTGCTAGATCTGTACACAGTTAGAAAAGTGCTAGATCTGTACACAGTTAGAAACGTGCTAGATCTGTACACAGTTAGAAAAGTGTCCACTAGAGAAAAGAGAGCGAGTGTTCCAGAACGAGACACGTGACCTGTGTCCACTCTGGAGCCTCTAAGCGTTGTAGGAAGTTGCCTTTTACCCGTAAGTGCCCGATGTTTTACGAGTCGACATTCAACCGTTCACAAATCACACTCATGATACGTCCACCTAACTGTTTTACAAGTCTACATCATCAATTCACAAAACACACAAAAGATCCGTGCACCGAACACTTGAATTGTATTCAATCGTTCACAAAATACACGCATGATCCTTGTAGCCAACTGTTCTACAAGTGTATATCAACCATTCACAAAAGCGTACACATGATACTTTCACCCAACCTTCGCACCAACCAATCGTCATGGCAACGAGTCGTCATAGTAACAAGAGCCAAATAGCAACCAAGTGTCATAGCAACCGAAGAACACAAAAGCAAACAACCAACCACCATTGCAATAGCCGCAACAACCGTCACAGGTAGTATATATCAAATGGTAAGCAGATCTATAGACGACATAAGCAGTAACCATCAGTCACCCAGTAATCAAATAGCTCAGCAGACCTTTAGACGACATAAGCAGTAGTACCACAATTTTAATTATCCTTCAAAACAGCCTACGTCACGACCATGGGAGGCTAGGCCATACGTCAGACGATAGAGGTGACGACGTACTTTTGGTCAACAAATTAAGCTAGCCCAGTGCAGTAACTCGTCCAACCAGGACCCACACATGCCTAGCATAACATTTGGTAGCAAGCTTGTAGGCCTCACATTTATCAACATTATAGTCATCACATTTGGTAGCAAGCTTCAAACTCTAACCATTTATCAACATTATAGTCATCACATTTGGTAGCAAGCTTCAAACCCTAACCATTTATCAACATTATAGTCGGCAGCTTAACCAACCCCACAATAAGCAAGAGCCATCCATGCTGCCATTTAACTCAACATTCAAACACATCTTAAGGGAACACTAACACAAGATATTTTACTCAGCAATCACTCAAAACATAATGTGTGACTCGCCAATCACCCAACACAATATATAAATACTCATTACAAGATATATAACTCACAAATCACAACATAATTATGTTAAACTCACCTATCACCCACCCAACCCACTGCAACCAACTACATACTTACTACCACTACTCATCTTTCAACATGAAATATGCAAACACGTAATATGCACGAAACGTGTGAACAAAATCACAATCGACTTAAGTGTAATTTTTATACTGATTTACATACGTTAGTGGTTAGTGAAGTGACCATTCATACATCGCCATTGCCATGAGGTGGAAATTAAACAGGTTTTTTACAATGTTTAACACAATTATTTCAGTTTACGTTAAACATTCATCATTCAGTGATTTTTTTAAATCATAAAACATTCAGCCTTGCGTGTGATTTTGTCATTTCTTACAGCCAGACTAAATACATGTCATCAGACTAACAATTATATCACATCGAAATAACATTATATTGTCATTACATCCTTATACATATCGCATCATCAATCCGATATTTTACATCACAGTCAACAAGCTATCACAACATCAACATCACAATCCCACAACATTACGATGTCATTACATCTGTTTGAATGACGTCACAACGTCAAGATCACAATCATCATAACAACATCACAATTACAATCATGTTACAACATCATGTTTAATAATGGTATCAGAATATCACTGCAGTTATTTCAAAACCGAAACCTCACCATCACACTCAGAATAACACAATTACCCCCACGCACCAATAGGCCCACACTACACATCAACATTATACTTTTAATAAAACAAGAGAAGAAAAACTTGACTCGATAGCAAAAGGTTGACTCGGCAGCTAAAATGTTGACTAGGCATCTACATGTTGACGATAGCAGCTGAAATAATGTACGAATGATGGGAGAGACAAGACAAACATGACCTAATCAAGACAATATGGTGTAATACTCAATGCTAATAATGTTGTTGATTATATGAACAATATTGCCGGTACTGCTTTTACCAAATATCAGACACATTATATATATATATATATATATATATATATATATATATATATATATATATATATATATATATATATATAATATGTAAATACTTATACATACATGTATTAATAATAAATACAAATAGGCGTCATTCTTGATAGACAATACTTTTGACATTAATCGAATGGGTGAATTTGATGTTTGTTAAGCCATACGTAAGTCATATCCAGGACCAAAGTATGACACTGAAGTTTGGACACAATGCACTAGAAAAGTGCAAGTTATTTTCACACCTACACCATCATCTGACAATGTTTGGTTTGGGCAGTCAAGTACAGCAGGTGTGTGGGACAATGGTCTGAGATGCAGTACCCAACATCGACCACACACGCTCTGCAACTTAATGTTTTGATGTTCGTCGATGTGTGTTTGATATAAGGAACAGAATGATGACTCGACCTTATGTGCTGAAGTATTTGTTCTGTTTAACCAGAGACACCCCGTTTTTGTCAATACCTGGTCAGCAGTTTTAGAAATCACCATTGTGTCTAAAAACTTAATGTATTTTTATGCCACCTAACACTTGCAGGTTAAAGAAATCAATCATCAAATACTTGCGTTCCACTTTGTAGCTTCACTAAATATAACTTGCATTAGTTTTTCCTGGAAACTTTACCAAAATCTCATATCCTGAGTTGCTTCATGAAACTTCACTCAATTCGGAAACGAAAACTTCGGTGCTGAATTTTCACCTGAATTTTCATTTGTGATCTAATTCCCTCAATTTTAACCCTTATTTAATTTTTTTTATAAAAACAATGAATTAGAAAAAAAAAAGAAACAATTTTTTCACAATCCTTTCTGAAAATGCCCATCTCATTTATTGATGAATATTGATTATATAGATGCTTATCCCGTGGTTTGATGATCTGAAAACACAAACAACAGAAGCCGAAATAACTATTGCAGCCAGCGGGAATCGAACCCCGGCCGACTACGACTCGTCCCCGAATCCCTTGAGCTGAGGCGGCTCCCGCTTGATCTGCCAGATAAAGATGATCATCAGCCCGACGAAGTTGGTGACGACGTAGAAGCTGAAGATGACGCGGTCTGTCACCAGCCCCACTACACGCCACTCGTGGTAGATCTTGTCCTTCTCCGCCGCCTTAGCCTTCTTTTCTCGAACTTTCTCCAGCATGTCCCGGATAGCCTTTACCTCTTCCAGCACCTGCAGTTGGAGAAATGGTCTGACTCACGTTGTGGCATTTAACTAGAATACTGACACAACTAAAACCAGTGTTACTTCCAGACTTTTTTCTCTAGGGGGGGGGGGGCACTTGATATTTTCGGGGGGGGGGGGGGATGACACACTGGTAAAAGTATATGTTTTCTATATAAATTCCAAAGCCCCCCCCCCCAGGAAGAGATGCCTGGAAGAAATTCTGACTAAAACTGACACCGATGTTGAGAAATGTTAACCAATTATACCTTTACTTGGGTTATCAACAGTGCCCTGACTTAAGATTTATAACATCAATGCCTTTAATCTATGCCCTTAAAAAAAGGGCACACTATTTTTACCACAGATGAAGACCGTTGACCTTTGACCTACCTGTAGGTTGGACTGACTGTGAGACAGGTACTCATCTCCGATGGGAGGGAAGGCAAACCCCGGCCCACCCCTTCCATCCAGGCCGTTCCCTCCCCCTCCTCCACACATATCCTGCTCCTGCTGACGTTTCTCGGCGCCATTGTCTAGCAGACGTACCTGCAGATTGATAGGACATAGTAGGACATCTGGCTAACGTCATTGGTAGGACATTGTAGGACATCTGGTTAACGTCATTGGTAGGACATTGTAGGACATCTAGCTAACGTCATTGATAGGACATTGTGGGACATCTGGCTAACGTCATTGGTAGGACATTGTAGGACATCTGGCTAACGTCATTGGTAGGACATAGGACATCTGGCTAAGTCAATGATAGGACATAGGACAACTGGGTAACGTCATTGATAGGACATCTGGCTAATGTTAAGCTAAAATAATTGATAAACTTGGTAACGTCAAATTATAAGACATAATACCTCAATTTGGTAAAATAATGTCGTGTATATGATTTAACATAATTTAAAAATACTATCAACTTTTTCTACCTCAAAACAGATACATTGTAATATTAATTATTATTTATGATTAATTAAACGGATTCACTTAACGTGTTTATAGTTGTATATTTTGACTATAGCGAATCATCTAAATTGAAAAATTTTAAATACAATTTTTTTGTAGTATTTCAACATTTGATCAATAGATCTCGAATTTGAATTTCGCAAAAAAAAAAAAATAGGAATTTTTTTCCATTATAAATAAATTATACGTTTCCATTTCATTTCATCGATATGGGTCAAATCCGGGTATGCTTACAAAGGTCATTGACAATTTCAAGACAATGGTCACTGACAATTTCAAGACAAAGGCCACTGACAATTTCAAGACCTTTGAAAATCTTAACCCCTATCAAGTATTTTGCAGATCAAAAGATTATTTCTTCGCGTGGTTACAAAACCAATTATCTCTTAAATAAAACTGTGCTCGCTAATTAAAGACGGTTCCTTTAATATCCAATCCATATTTTTAAACTGGCCGCTTAAAAAAAAACAGCTATGTAAATTAACATGGACAGAACGTGCCAGCGTACGCACTCGACATTTCACCAAAAGGTTTTTGAAATCATTCAACTATTTTTACACGGCACACGAGGTTTCCGCGAAGCTAAGAGCGTCTTAATTTCTACACGATCGAGACGTGTTGACTCCGCGGAGCATGGGACGAGGGAAAAAACGCGAGCAGGAAATGGCCTGTTTTAAGATTCATGTCGTGAGATTAGGGATTCTGATGAATGCTCGATCCGGGCCCCAGCCATCGCTTATTATTCAGGAAAAGCGGCTTGTCCTGCATGGTGTAGCCAGCGTGTCCCCTTGCCAGATTGTAATCAGTGCTTTAAGTGGTTTTTCTGCCAGGAAATCGTTTTGAAACAAACCGAAATTTAATTCTAATTTCTGGCCAAAAATAAAATGTGTTTAAAAATGGCAAGGGCGTGTTGAAATGTGCAGAGGAAAACAGAAAGGAAACCTGCTCTGCAAGTGGGGGATTAAATATTAATTAAGATCTGATATTTAAATCTGTGATGTTTGATTTCAGTCGACTGATTTGCTAACGCACATTGCATGACATTTTTAACCAAGAAAGCGTGTAGGAAACTCGTAAAAAAATTATCGAGTTAAGATTAAGATTGATGCGACCTACAAAATGTATAAAAAAATCTAACGTTTTTCTTAAAACTATATTTTTCCTAACGCTATTCTCTGGTCAATCTGTTTGTCTGTGTGTATGATGGGGGAAGGGGAGGGGGGGGGGGGTGAGAGAAGATGAACAACCTCCCACCCAACAATTTAAATCCCCATTTGCATGAAGACAGGCATCCTGTCCTGAATTAGAATTTAAAATCCTGCCCGATTCCAAGCATAACACCCACACCTCACCCCCACCCCCAACCCGTGACTGAGGCATGGCTACACACCCCACCCCAGCCCGTGACTGAGACATGGCTACACACCCCACCCCACCCCAGCCCGTGACTGAGACATGGCTACACACCCCACCCCACCCCCAGCCCGTGACTGAGGCTACTCACCCCACTCCACCCCACCCCACCCCAGCCCGTGACTGAGGCATGGCTAACCTGAGCGAACGAAATGTCTGTATAGGGGTACTGCGGCCTGTTGGTGTCGCCACCTACCCGTCCGGCGTTCCACCGCTTCTTGGGGGGTCCGGCCACCACGGGGGCGTTCTCTTTCTCCAGGAACTGGTCGGTGATGCACAGGATACGCGCCATGAAGTTTATCATAAACTGGAATGTGAGCAGACGACATTCATTAGACAGCAGAAACCAAACGACACAAAACGTGTGGAATTCATCATAACCTGGTGAATTCATCATGTAGAAATAAAAATAAAATTTCTTCCAATTTACAAACCATGCTTTGCTGATTAAAAATAATTTGAATTTTTAATATCGAAATGTATAGATTAAAATAAAAACTTATTTCCAATTCATAATTTTTTAAATTGCTTATCCGTCCACATCATTTTGTATTTCAAGTGTCTAAGATTACGATACGCTGACCTATGTGTGTGTGTAGGGTTAGGGTTAAAGAACGTTAGGGATTAATTTTTTAACCTTATGTGTCGTTATCGACGGTACTAAATTTACCAAATCTAATACTCGACTTTTTCACAACTGTAACGTTGTCGATTCGATCACAACATTACAGATGTAATGATTTTAGCTCGATGTTATTATTGTTGCAGGGGTGTAATTTTATGTAATAAAAAAAATTTAAGAGCACTAAGAATACCCCATGACTATTATTACACACAGTGAAAACTTTTTGAGTGTTAAATAATGAAAGGACAAGAAAATTATAGAAATAAGTTGAAAAGAAATAGAAATTTAAAAAAGGACAAAAAAAAAGCATAAAAGGCTGTTGTATAATGTATAGTGCCTATGCACCGCTGTGAGTTGAAAAAGCAAAGAAGAAGAAGAGTTCAATAACCCTAACCCTAACTGTAACAATTAAACGTAACGGTAAATAGTAGTCCACTCGTCCATCTACCGGAAGATCTAGAAATGACGTATGGTCGAGTACCGAAACCCTAGCAGTGAAATTGGGAATTTCCGTTTATAAATTTAGTCAGTGACGTCAGAACCGTCTCGTTTAGAGCGCGGGGCTGATATTCGGGTCTGTGGGGGTTGTTTAGGGTGTGCCGTATTTGTCTGCCGGACCCCCGGGCTAATACTAAGGTCAACAGGGCCCAACAGTGCTGACGTCTGGGGCTGGCTCTGATTACAGCAGACGACTGGTTATGATAGCAGGATAAACTTGTCATTTTCACAATTGTCTCGCCTGGCTCCCCCATCCGCCATCTTGTCAAGTCTGGCATCTCTAACACATTTATCTGGCATACATTTCTATCTGGCATACATTTCTATCTGGCATACATTTCTATCTGGCATACATTTCTATCTGGCATACATTTCTATCTGGCATACATTTCTATCTGGCATACATTTCTATCTGGCATACATTTCTATCTGGCATACATTTCTATCTGGCATACATTTCTATTTTTTTTTCTATTGATTTCACAGAGAAAAAAAACGACGTTTCTTTGATGTATTTTACGTTTGTAATATATTGCATACGTTTATCTATTTAGCATATTTGCTTAAAAATCTGGTTTTGAAAAGTTTAAATTTAAATAAATTCTTATTTTATGCGACTCGTATTCCTAATCAGATCTGCATAAATCAGTTCTCGCCAGGACTTAAAAAAAAGCTACAAACAAACAAACAAAAACAACTAACAATCTGTACAAAACTAACCAAACCAATATTTGTAATGAGAAATATCCAGATAAACTATAGACAGGATTATCGAGTGTATAATGACTAGTGTTTAGTCTATCATAAATAAGGTGACCCGTCAAAAGAGCGCACGACAAAAGAGCGCCGACATAAGAGCGCAGACAAAAGAGCGCCGACATAAGAGCGCCGACAAAAGAGCGCAGACAAAAGAGCGCCGACATAAGAGCGCAGTCAATTAAAAAAACACATGTTGTACGCTAAACGAATATGACAAGGTTAACACTTGTTTTAATTAGACAATCGGCGAGAAAACGACGTCTTTATTTATATATTATGGTTACCACGTTATGAATGCAGTTTGAAAATAGTTCTAACCCAAGTAACATGGAGAAGATCGAATCACAGAAAGGGAAGGTTATTATATTGGTCGAAGGCTACAGATATAGACAGGACAGAGCAAATGCTGATGGAAGTACGACATGGAGATGCTGCAAGAAAGATGGCTGCCGAGGACGGATGAAAATGCTGAACGATGTTGTTCTGTCATCATCAGAACACAATAACGCAGCTGCCATACCCAAATCCGCAGAACGTTGCAGAGATAATTCCTGAACCTCTTCAAACGACAACCAGAAGCTTCAAAGAACAAATATGTTCAGCTGAACCGAAGATTGCAGGGGATTGCTTCAACCAATGCTAATGATTCAATGATGGACTACCTACGAGGTATAGCCCACAACTTAGCAATATAAATGCAACTATAAAGAAACGTTTTATTAATTTTAAATTATTTTCATTTTGTTACATTTCATTTCAGTTTATATTCTCACTTTAGGCCTAACATTTAAAATCTTTGTATGTGTTATTAGATTGCGTTTTGAATAATTATTGGACTCTACGTTGGTTGTACCAGTTTTTTAGTTAAAGAAACTGAACATTTAGTTTTTTAATGAAACAATAAAGAGTTAACATCAAACAATACCTTCTGATCTGAGTTAATTTTCTTGTTTTTATTTATTATATATGGTTTTTCGATATTTAGTTTGCGCTCTTATGTCGGCGCTCTTTTGTCGGGAAATTAGTGCGCTCTTATGTCGACGCTCTTATGTCGGCGCTCTTTTGTCTGCGCTCTTATGCCGGCGCTCTTTTGTCGTGCGCTCTTTTGACGGGGTGCCCATAAATAATACGGGGCACACAATGTTATTTCAACGTCAGAGATAGACGCAGGTACAGAATAGTGTTCTAGTAAAGACATAACAGGTTTGTCTAACGGTGGTGTGTGGAAGTGTTGGGTTCGGATCCCACGTACATTGATTCTTTTGCACCAAATATATTTAAAAACAACCTTCTACCCAGAATATTTAACTGGCTACTTTTAACACGCACTAGATCTCAATTATCACCCAGCTCGTGATGTATCACAAATACTTGTTAAGCACGACAAATGCTTCGTACCACACCACAAATCCCACTTACCACTCAATGACAGATCGTACTTACCACACCACAAATAATATTTACCATTTACCACTTATCAAATCCCATTTACCCCTTACCGAACGAGAAAGCCTACTTATTTCACCCCACGTACCATTCAATGACAGATCGAATTTACCACACCACTAATCCCACTTACCACTCGTCGAATCCCACTTACCACTTACTTGACAATGAAATCCCACTTACCACTTACCTGACAATAAAATCCCACTTACCAGTGATCAAATCCCACTTACCACTGATCAAATCCCACTTACCACTGATAAAATCCCACTTACCTGACAATATAATCCCACTTACCACTCACCAAATCCCACTTACCACTCACCAAATCCCACTTACCACTGATCAAATCCCACTTACCACTGATAAAATCCCACTTACCTGACAATATAATCCCACTTACCACTCACCAAATCCCACTTACCACTGATCAAACCCACTTACCACTGATCAAATCCCACTTACCACTTATCAAATCCCACTTACCACTGATCATATCCCACTTACCACTGATCAAATCCCACTTACCACTGATCAAATCCCACTTACCACTTACCACACATGTACTTACCACTGATCAACTCACACTTACCACTGATCAAATCCCACTTACCACTTACCACACAAGTACTTACCACTGATCAACTCACACTTACCACTGATCAAATCCCACTTACCACTGATCAAATCCCACTTACCACTCTGAGACACTTGGGTACACGGTTGATCCGGACCCCCCGGAAGTGCATGTTGGCCACCACACAGGCCAGGATCTCAGACAGCGTTATCATGATCATGTTCATGCAGAAGTAAGCACCTGAAAGGTCAAGGTCAAACATGGACCATGTTACAGTTGAGAGGTCAAAGGTCAAAGGTCAAACACGTCGGACAACGTTATCATGATCATGTCCATGCAGAAGTAAGCACCTGAAAGGTCAAGGTCAAACATAGGCCCATGTTAGTGTTGAGAGGTCAAAGGTCAAACATGTTACATCAACGTTATCATGATCATGAGAGTCTATAGAAAATAATAATTGCTACAGGAATTTAAAACCTTTAGTCGGAATGGTCTATTTACAACTCACCAATTAAGGGAAAGGCCCGAGTCATATTTACCTATTGAAGGAATGGCCAAAGCAGAACTCACCATTTAAATAAATGGCTATGTTCTACTCGCCAATAAAAGGAATGGGGATGTTCTGCTCACCAAATAATGGAAAGGCGAAAGCAGAACTTACCAATTAAGCAGAGCTTTCAAATTCAAGAGACGGTGATATTCCACTCATCAATTCAAAGAATGGTGATGTTCTACTCACCAATTAAAGGAATGGTCGAAGTAAAACTCACCAATTAAAGGAGTGACCGAATCAGAACTCACCAATTAAAGGAATGACCAAATCAGAACTCACAAATTAAAGGAATAGTCGAATCAGAACTCACCAATTAAAGGAACGACCTAATTAGAACTCACCAATTAAAGGAATGGTTGATGCGGCTTTGGGTGTCGACTCGGCCAAAAGCAGCAGCAAGACAAAGAAAGCCAAGAAGATGTTCATACCTGAAACAGGGGAGATAAAATATGCTTAAAATGTAGAACGGACCCCGTAAATGAGTTTTGTGCCCGTCTCGTGTTTGGGTGATTACATTTACGCCGGGGGTGGGGGTGGGGGTGTTGGCAGAATTTGAGCCCCAGCATCTCAGGCCTTTAATGGACAAAAATAAAATTGCTGAACGTTATATGGGACTTTTTTTTATTATTCCTGGGTGGCATGTTGATGTGTCAAATAGAGAGGGTGTTGTAGCGTAATGGAAGCAATTAGCGCTACCCTCACTGTGTGTGTGTGTGGGGGGGGGGGGGGGGTTAGGGACGGCGGGAAGCAGACATTTTTTTTCCAATCAAGAAAAATGTGTAGCTATCAGTGAATTAAGCAATTAACTAATTGCACTTTATAAAAAGTACTTTTTTGCACTTTTTGTAAACATTTTTATAATTACAAAGGCTAGTGACTCGCGGGTATCCAAATATAATGTCACCTTGGCTGTTAACTTTAGGGACCTACCTAATGTCAACTTGGCTGTTAACTTTAGGAACACTCAAACGTCACCTTCCTAATGTCAACTTGCGTAACGACTATAAGACACCAAATGTCACCTACCTAATGTCAACTTGGCTGGCGACTCTGGGGGCACCCAGAAGATGACCATGGTGAGCAGTGAGAGAAGGGCGCAGGGCATGATGAGGATGAAGGTGTAAAACGCCACCCGACGCCTCAAGACGAGCTTAAACTTGAGGTCAGGGTAGGGCTCAGGGCAGCACGTGTATTTCTTGATGTTACGGTGACCTGGGGAGGGGAAGGTAGGGGTCAGTACCGAAAGTTTAGTTTTAATACACAAGCTTTAGGATTATTAAGGGCATTGACCCAGGTAATGAGGTGGGCGTGGTCGGGTCGGTTGAGCTCATAGTTGTTGAACCGAATAGCCCCACGTTCGACCCCGTGCAGATGAGGAGATAGCGACTCATCTAGGAGAGACAACTCCAAAATAATAAAACTGCTGCCCTGTTAATAAATTTATACTTAGTTCTGTTGGAGGGAATCTCTTGGAAAAAGAACGAAAAAGAGAACGAAGAAGAAGAAGGCCCAGTTAGTCTTCGTTTGAAATATATTGATCCTTGGCTGATGCAGCTAATCTTTAATTTAAGTATACTAGCTGAAATAATCTTCAATTTATGAATTTTAACCATGTTAATAGTTTACTTTAAATATATTAATTCAATTCTTCTTTACCTCAAGACTTTACCTCGGACAACTTATGTTTACGTGTCAAAATAAGATATTTGTGTGCGTTTTGTGTAGGCCCACACGGATAACTTTAGTACATCGACATTGTCGAAACTATTAAAATAGACACAAGTGAAAAAAAATTGTGCCTATTCAAACTAGTTCAAATTTAAACCCCTTTAAGTTCAGACACAAAAAAGATTTGTGTTACAAACCAGTTCAAATTTAAACCACTTAAATAGACTTCGGACACAAAGAAGATTAGTATTACAAAAGTAAACCAGAAATCATTGTAACCAAGCGCAATCTCACTGACTGACATCGTATTTCTTGAACAGGAAACCAGATAACGAAACCGGAAGCAGATGTCTCTCGAACAAAAGAAATCTTGAAGTAATTACCTGAGTTTTCGATAATGGTCCACTCGTTGTTCTCGATGTAATCTGTTAGCTCAAATTGTTGTCTTCCTGTTCGTGATATATATATATATATATATATATATATATATATATATATATATATATATATATATATATATATATAAAACATAAAGGATGAGACTGAAATGAGTCTATAAGCTCGATAAAATGACTACAATCGTTATAAATTTTATATCGCTAAGTGACTGAGTCAAATGACCTTTGAAATGACCAACTCAAATGACCTGAAATAAAATGTATGTCTAGCTTGAAGCCGTTGTAGGTCCAGGAGCCAAACTTGAGCACACACGTCTGCTCGTCAAAGGGGAAATACAGCGTGTCAAACGCACACGAGCTGCGCAGGATGGCTTGGGGCATCCAGAGTAGCGCCCCGTTGTGGTTGACGACAACCAGGGCGTTCCTCTGTTCCTGTAGGCGGTCGTCGGCGCTGGGGAAACATCGGGGAGGTAACTTAAACATCTTAAGTAAGGGGGGATAATGGGAGGTAACTTAAACATCTTTAGTAAGGGGAGATAAAGGGAGGTAACTTAAACATCTTAAGTAAGGGGTGATAATGGGGGAAATAAAGGGAGGTAACATCAACATCTTTAGTAAGGGGAGATATTTGTTGAAATAAAGAGAGGTAACATAAACACCTTAATTAAGGGGAGATAATAATTGACAAGAAGGGAGGTAACTTAAACATCTTAAGTAAGGGGAGATATTGGATGAAAAGGGAGGTACTTAAATATCTTCAATAAGAGGAGATACTATGTAAAACAAATAGAAATTACTTAATCATATTAAATAAGGGGAGGTAATGTTGAAATAAAGGGAGTTGACTTAAGCATCCTAAATAAAGGGAGATAATGGGTGAAACAAAAGGAGGTAACCAAAACATTGTAAATAAAGGAAGCTACTTACTACATCTATTAAAGGAAGGAGGAATTTAATGTAACTTAAAGAATTTAAATAAAAAGACGTAGCTTAACGTTCTTAAACGGGGTGAGATAATGATATATTAAATAAAGTGATATTTTCTAAAGATTTAAAATAAATGCTGGTAACCTTGCGATTTTAATTCGTGGAGATAGAAAGGATTTTAATATAAAATATGTAGATTAAAGAATGTGGATTTTAAAAATTAAAATAAAGTAAGATGTAATTTAAATAATAGATGTCAACATAGAGATTTAAAAAGGTCAACAATTATTGAAAGGAAGAAAGATGTTAATAAACACAAAATTTCTGTTGTATATCGCGAATGCATTTTAAAACTGTAAACTACTTTAAAGGGCACATCAGCATATAAAGAGAGCTTAAATATTTCATTGTGCATAGTTGCATCTCAATGGAGCGAAGATCTATTTAAAGGTTCATATTAGCATAACAGATGTGGATTACTGTAAGAAAAAATACTGATTAATATTAATTGAGATTAATGAATACATTAGCGTTAAAAGTGCCTGGATATATAAATATGTAAAAACTAAAACGATATGTAATAACTACTTCAATTTATTTGGTGTTTTTTTAAAATATAAGGAAAGTCTTATAACCTGTCTTATTTTTTAAAAACATACACTAACATTATACTAGGAACTCTATTGACGAATACATGTCGAGAATAGATTACGGTCGGGTTTGGTCGAGTACCTTATGGCTTAAACTTGAACAAATAGTCCTGCTAATTAATCCACCCACACAAAAACAGTCTTAAAACCCCAGCGTAATGACGTGAAAATTTTAAAAGGAGCCCTTGTTAAAATTTCCCGTGGACGGGCCCCCTCCGGTCATTTAGTCTGAGAGTCGAGTGCACTGGCAGTCAGACTTCTGTTTCCGCTCCCCGACTCGGGTTCCAATTATTCCTGCCATGCTAGTCCGGGGACCGGAAGCGAGAATTCCGCCGTATGCCTGCACTTAAAACATACCCGGCCGGTCCGACAGATGTCGCCCGTTGGTACCTCGCAGATGACGACATTATTCGAAGAAGGCTTCCGGTTGAAAGGTCAAGTCAAATGACTGTGGTCTGAGTTTCGTGGCAGTCGAGTCACGCGCGGGGACACGTGACTGTCTTGAAGGATCCACACGGTAGTTAGAGCGTGGGGAGAAAACCACACGACCACACAAGTACGAACCACACAACCACACAAGCACAAACCACTCAACCACACAAGTACAAACCACACAACCACACACGTGCAAACCACACAACCACACACGTGCAAACCACACAACCACAGAAGTACAAACCACACAACCACACACGTGCAAACCACACAACCACACACGTGCAAACCACACAACCACACAAGTACAAACCACATTAAATGTTCTCTAATAAAAACTCGACGGCTGCATAGTCAGAACGGATCCACAACCAACCACACATCCACACGACAACCAACCACACATTCACACGACAACCAACCACACATCCACACGACAACCAACCACACATCCACACGACAACCAACCACACATCCATACGACAACCAACCACACATCCACACGACAACCAACCACATATCAGTACGACCCTAAAGTCACTACAACAGCAATGATCATAATAATATCCACATGAATAACTAGCATCAACGACGCTAATTAGTTAGTAATTAGAAAAAAAAACACATGTTTTTCTGCTTAAAATCTGCACAGATATTTCTCAAAAACAAAAATAAAAAAAATAAACACCCCAAAGCAACACATTAACACAAGGAGATCACAAAAAAATGTTTACAAAATTGTAAATTTGTCAGCGTCGGAAGAAAACTGAAAGACGTCGTACACACTGTTACTACAGCTCCATCTGTTGGCGGAGAGAATCAGCTGATGTACGTATGCGGAGAGAATAAGCTGATGTACGTATGCGGAGAGAATCAGCTGGTCTACGTATGCGGAGAGAATCAGCTGGTCTACGTATGCGGAGAGAATCAGCTGATGTACGTATGCGGAGAGAATCAGCGGGTCTACGTATGCGGATAGAATCAGGTGATGTACGTATGCGGAGAGAATCAGCTGATGTACGTATGCGGATAGAATCAGCTGGTCTACGTATGCGGAGAGAATCAGCTGATGTACGTATGCGGAGAGAATCAGCTGGTCTACGTATGCGGAGAGAATCAGGTGATGTACGTATGCGGATAGAATCAGGTGATGTACGTATGCGGAGAGAATCAGCTGGTCTACGTATGCGGAGAGAATCAGCTGATGTACGTATGCGGAGAGAATCAGCTGGTCTACGTATGCGGAGAGAATCAGCTGATGTACGTATGCGGATAGAATCAGGTGATGTACGTATGCGGATAGAATCAGGTGATGTACGTATGCGGATAGAATCAGGTGATGTACGTATGCGGAGAGAATCAGCTGGTCTACGTATGCGGAGAGAATCAGCTGATGTACGTATGCGGAGAGAATCAGCTGGTCTACGTATGCGAAGAGAATCAGCTGATGTACGTATGCGGATAGAATCAGCTGATGTACGTATGCGGAGAGAATCAGGTGATGTACGTATGCGGATAGAATCAGGTGATGTACGTGTGCGGATAAAATCAGCTGATGTACGTATGCGGATAGAATCAGCTGATGTACGTATGCGGATAGAATCAGCTGATGTACGTATGCGGATAGAATCAGCTGATGTACGTATGCGGAGAGAATCAGCTGATGTACGTATGCGGATAGAATCAGCTGATGTACGTATGCGAAGAGAATCAGCTGATGTACGTATGCGGATAGAATCAGCTGATGTACGTATGCGGATAGAATCAGCTGGTCTACGTATGCGGAGAGAATCAGCTGATGAACGTATGCGGATAGAATCAGGTGATGTACGTATGTGGAGAGAATCAGCTGATGTACGTATGCGGAGAGAATCAGCTGATGTACGTATGCGGAGAGAATCAGCTGATGTACGTGTGCGGATAAAATCAGCTGATGTACGTATGCGGAGAGAATCAGCTGGTCTACGTATGCGGATAGAATCAGCTGATGTACGTGTGCGGATAAAATCAGCTGATGTACGTATGCGGATAGAATCAGCTGATGTACGTATGCGGATAGAATCAGCTGATGTACGTATGCGGAGAGAATCAGCTGATGTACGTATGCGGATAGAATCAGCTGATGTACGTATGTGGAGAGAATCAGCTAATGTACGTATGTGGAGAGAATCAGCTAATGTACGTATGTGGAGAGAATCAGCTGATGCGGATAGAATCAGCTGATGTACGTATGCGGATAGAATCAGCTGATGTACGTATGCGGAGAGAATCAGCTGATGTACGTATGCGGATAGAATCAGCTGATGTACGTATGTGGAGAGAATCAGCTAATGTACGTATGTGGAGAGAATCAGCTAATGTACGTATGTGGAGAGAATCAGCTGATGTACGTATGCGGATAGAATCAGCTGATGTACGTATGCGGATAGAATCAGCTGATGTACGTATGCGGAGAGAATCAGCTGATGTACGTATGCGGAGAGAATCAGCTGATGTACGTATGCGGATAGAATCAGCTGATGTACGTATGCGGAGAGAATCAGCCGATCTACGTATGCTAGTCCATCCGGCTTATATGCGAATAAAAGCATCACGCCCATAACTTGAGATAAACATTGGAGAATTAATAGCTTATCCTTTCCTTCAAATAGAAACCAATAGATCGATATTAATTGAATTCAAAGATCTGGTTAAGATCAGACACCAGACCATAATTTGTCTTGTATCTGATATGGATATTTTGGTCTCTGTTGCTGATGGATATTTTGGTCTCTCTATTGCTGGCTGCTTGTTGTTGCTGGGTCAAACGTTTTTGTGTCAGTATTGTTGTCAAGATGTTTAGATCTTTTACAAGAATTTAATTCTAGTCCCATGCTCAAGTTTTATTAAGATTGTTTGGTACCATAGGCTAGCATTCATGTAGGCTAGTGTTTCTTTAGGCTAGTGTTTCTGTAGGCTAGCGTTTCTAAGAGCTAGCGTTTCTGTAGGCTAGTGTTTCTAAGAGGTAGCGTTTCTGTAGGCTAGTGTTTCTAAGGGCTAGCGTTTATGAATACCAGTAATTCTGCTGGCTAGCCTTTCAACAGGCTAGAATTCTCATAGGCTAGCATTTTTATGGAGATGTCGTTACCCAATCGTTTTGTCTCTTGAAGGATTATCATTAAAGTTAGATGTATTAGTACTTTTTCCCACTTCTTAATTTGATATTATTAAACTTGTTATTAGATATAACTTCTTACAACATTAATTTTATTAGTTATTAGTATTAGCGAGTCGACTTCTTTAAAAACAAATACATGGATTAATAGCTACACATAAATGCAATTAAAATATAAAGGCAATTTTTAAAATACAAAACATGATAGACATTACGACATTTGGACATTTTTACTGCATTTTATAACTAAAACAACCCTTTCAAAAGAGCGCAATCTTCGGTATT